AATGTTATCTGTATTGTTTACCTCATTCTACAGTTTTCGAGACAAATTAAAACGCTCTTATTTCTAAATAAAGTTAGTATGTGGAATTTTCAGGGCATAAGAATATCGCCCTATCCTGCCCTGTGGACACCTCTGATATAGACTGACGCCAAAATCAATGTAAGATATCTCTTTTAGTCTAATTGGCTTAGGAGATCTGTCCGTATAGAAGAAGTTCTATAGTTAAAATTCTATGAAGATGATTTATCTGTGATGATATCGTTTAACGGTAATAGTCACGTTATGAGTGAGACATATTATGGTTAGATTATTTATCTTATATAAATAAGATAAGTTGTTTTATTATCTTTCTCCGATATATATTGACATTTGAATGAATTCTTCTTGTTCGAAAATAATCTTTTTGAGAAATGAATTTAATTTAATGAAATAAATTGACTCTGGTAAAATATATTTGATTATGAAAAAATTTCTATGTAGATAGATATGATTTAAAACATGAAATTATTATTTTAATCATAAATATTTCTTTCATTTTTAGTTCATAGACTAGGAAAACAAAATATTATGTTAAAAGAACTTATAAACAAACTTTTCTCTGAGAAAAGTCAATTGATTTATCTTCATCTTGATATTGCCAATGATATATATGATATTGACATTCATCAATGTTTATCATCATCAGCATTCTCTTATCCTTGTTCAAGAACGATTTTCAATAAATTTCAATCGTCTTGTCTCAATCTTCGTTATTTATACATTCGTCTGATTTATACATGTTTCCTTGAAGATATTATCGAACATGTACCAGTTCTTGAACAATTGTCAATCGATTTTAAAAGTTCAATGAATATGGAACCGCGCTCGAAGTCAGATATTGAAATACTTATAAAATCAAATGGAAATTGGTTTAATAAGGTAGGATAAATGCATTAATCGTGTTAATTGTTCATCTATTTGAACATTGTTTTTATTGAAAACAATATTCGAGATTCGAGATTATTTAATCTTATACTAATAATATGTTCATATTAGTTGTTAGGCATTTATTGATTTTGTTTTTAATAAAAAACCTTCAATTAAATTCATCATCTAGTTAGAATTGATTGAATAAAAACAAAAATTAAAGAAGATTGTTAATCATTTTATAGATTAGATAGAGTTATCTGTTAGTGATCGAGATCGATAATAGAAGAAATTTTTGAAATAAGATCAGTTAGATAACCTATCGAAACGGACAGAGATTATCATAACGAGAATGAAAACGAATATGTTCGAGACAAGATTTCAATCGCACACATTTTCATTACCGGACAAATAGAGAGTGGCATTGCATTAAAATAAACAAGATTCTTTTACCTCTTAGATCATTACCTTCATGTCTATTATCTAATAACGGTCGATTTTAATTAAATAAATCGAGGTTATCTTTAATCAAAACGAATCTAATATGATTATTTTCATTGGTTATCATTGATCATCTTGACATCTATTCTCAAATAGTCAATATCATATTTACTTTACTATAACATTCAAGTTCTTGTGTCGTGTACATTTTCAAATTCTATTGATTTCTTCTTATGAAAATCCATCAGTTCGACTTTTGTATTTTCATAGACCAACAAGGATAGAAGTCTGATTTTATTTAGACCTTCAAAAAGAAAACTTCAATGACTGAGCTGTTCTGCTCAATCAATTAACGTTCGTTGCATCTATTGATCAATCGTGCACTACTCACATGACATCGTCTATGTTATACCGTAGCTCACATCATAACAGATGATTAATATGAGAGAGAGAGAGATAATCGTTAATGAATTGTCCAAGGTCATTCCATAAGTGATATCGTCAAGAATCGAATACAGAACGTTGAACATATGTGACGAACAACTCAGTCATTATGATAATGTATATCGATGAAAATGTTGATTGCTTGTTCATTTACTCGAATTTAAAGATAAGATTATCTTAATATATATGCGCATAAGTGCTTATCCTGATAAGATCTCTTTTCAGCATACTCGAAAATCTACTCATTTTATAGAGTTTACAATGCTTGTGTATTTGTCAATTTTTTAATTCGTTTTCGTTTTGATATATAGCTACAATCTATAGTTAATCAGTATCATTCTCTAATACATGTTTAATCATTCGATTCTACGATCAGTTTTAATGGGATAGTGCCGTCGTAGAGGCAATTCTGCTTTCCTCGTCTGCATATTCTAATTCGTTAAGTAAGATGAAAAGTAATCTTTAATAGGTTAGATTCGATATTAAAGATCTAATGTTCTTGTTATTCGATATTTATAGAACTGATTTAGTTAGGATATTGAATTAATCACCTAAGTTAACAGTAAACGACGAAGTTCTAGACTAGATAAAAACGTCAAATAGATTCTCTCATCGTTTCTGACATGTATATTTTGATATGTGAGAGAAAAAGGAAACTAATTTGGCACATATCAACTGAAATCAGAGATCCTTACCAGTGAAATCGTTTTAGATAAAGTTAGAACTGTGAAATCTATAGCAAAAATTATAAAACGTTGCTCGAATGAGGGAAAATTACGTTGGAAACTTGCTGGCCTAGTTAAATAAAATACACTTTTTTACCCAATAATTCTTCGAAAGGTTCTTCGAATGCACATTCGCGCATATATATCAGATTGTGCACTTCAGTGGTGACCCGACTGGGCTGGGGCTGTCACTCTCCCCCAATAATTGCAAATTTTTATCAATTTTAGTAGTTAAAAGGTTGAAAAAACAATGTCATATACAGTCTACGCAAAAAATTCTCGGACATTTAAGAATGGCTCTGCTAAATTTTATATTCTATTTGAAAGAAACTTTATATATATTTTAAGTATAGTTACTGGTTAAAGTTTCATATAATATTAAAACTAGAAGTTTTGCGTCTGTAGAGTAAAGTATGAAAGTTTAACCAGTAACTATACTTAAAAAATATATATAAAGTTTAGTTCAAATGAAAGATGAAATTTCAGAGAGCCATTCCTGAGTGTCCCAGAATTTTTTGCGTAGACTGTAGGGTGATATGAATTTCGAGCCAAGGAACTTTAAGCCAGAACTTTTAACCCTGATCCTCAAGTTTGCACCGTCGTCCTCAGTCTGAATCGAAATTCCGGCCTCCCGCAATATGAGTTCTCGAACTTTTTTTCAAAAACTATACGAATAAATGGAATTATTTTGGAAGAAGTTATAAACGAATATTGAAAATTTATTCGCTTCATCAAGAAACAATCGACTATAGAATTCTATCCGAGTTAAAAAACTCAATAATCTTTCATGTTTAGCAATATGTTATCGTGTCTTTTTTACCTTTGAAGAGCTTCGTTTTTGAACAATCATCATGAACGTATCCACCTTCGGCAGCAAAATGTCTAAACAATGTCATAACTGGTATTTGATAACGGTTTACTTTTTTGAGAAAGTCAATAGAGAAAGAGAATTTTTACCGGCTGGTAGAGAATTTTCGCTGCGAAAAATAGTATCATTACACAACTATAATCAGATTTTAAAGACTTTAAAGTTAATTCTAGGAGATTTTAATTTATCGTGCTTTCTATAAAGCATTACTTTGAGAAATATTCGCTAGCGTGAACGCCTTCACCATTAAAATATTGAGCAACTATTTTCAATTCCGTACGAAGGCAATTTTCTTCCTCAAAAGACTAATCGATAACATTGCTTTTTTTTGTTCATTTTCTATGTTTCTCAGTCGAAAAAATTTTTTCTAACTTAAATCGACAAAAACACATAAGATTAATTCTGTTGAACAAAAAAAAGGTTCTACTCCTATATCTAATTAACTCCGAGCATCAATGCGTTCGTCTCCTGCTTGTTTCCTTTTCTATCGTTATACTTGTGAGTGTCTCTCTTCTTTTTTCAATATATGCTTCCTTTATAGAATAATACTGATCAAATTCTATTTCTATATCCATGAAAAACACAGACCAACACTATAACAAAATAGATTTATCACCGAACTCCTGTTCAGATGAAGAACTTTTCGGATTTCGTACCGGTTTAGTCAATCTAAAAAGGTTTAACAGATAACTATCAAACCTTTTTTAGGTTGACTGAACTGGTACCAAACTCGACAGCTTCCTCATCTGCGTAGAAGTTCGCTAATAAACCTATTGTTTTAGAGTGAAACAACTAAAAACATGTTTTTTATTTAGCACAATACATCGTAGCTTTCTCCTAAGTTCGGAGAATCGAGCCACTACTGCTGGACTGTTGCGATAAACAGTCATTTTTGATTGGGGTCATGGCATAATTCGAGATAGAGAGAGAGAGCATAGTCTTTAATGGCTCATATGTCTTCCTAAAGTGGCAACGGAAGAATTAAAACAAAGAAAAATTTAAATAAAATGTTCGTCGAGAGAGAAAGAGAGAAATAGGATTTGTTGACGAAACAATTTAGAGATTGTTTCTGTAGATAGGAATAAAATCGAATTCTCGAATTGAGATATCTTTATTCGTTCGAAGTTGTGTGATATATATTTGAACTTAATAAATATAATCTATTTTATATATTTGTTGTCGGTAGACGTTTCCAATAATTTTTGGTGAAAAAATGTCAACTTGGTTATTTTATTATTCTGTAATGAAAACTAAGCATGCATTGATTGTCACTGGAAAACATCGATTTTGATCAGGCTTCGAACAAATAAAAATTCATTTAACAAAATTCGTGCTCAAAGACTTTCGATTCGACAGACTCTCATTATCATATATATATTTGACAATTAAAGAATTTTTTTCACTTTTTAAATTCGATGCTAAAAAGAGATTTTCATAAAGAGCTTTTATTCGAAATAAAAATGTCGTTTTTATCAGTCTTTATATTAAAAATGATCACTTGTTACTATAATCCATTTAAAAAAATAGTATCGTCGAGTATTTTTTGAATAGGTCAATAAGAGAACTAGATAGATACCTAGAGATTTTCACCAATCGATAGAGACCGTCAGAGTCCACAAGTCTATAAAAAAATGAATAACTAGTCTTTGGTTGAAAATGTTTTATTTTTTGTTCAAATGTTTCCAAAAGTCAACTATAGATGAAATCCTGTTGAACTCTAGAATAGAATCACTATTAGTAGACCTTCGAGAATACTTGAATATATGTTCTATAGAAATTATTTCGAACTGTAATAGACATTTATATGTCCACCTCATACGTTATTCATGTGTCTTTTGCTCTTCTATTTCGTATCTTCTATTGTTTTATAATAATAGAAGGAATCTAAGAGGTCGTAATCCAGCATCCATCGATTAGATTGTAAAATATGTCCTACTTTCAAAGTAAGATTAGCTTTTGCTTTCTTTAATAGACTTTCGTTCTCTGACGTCTTCTATTGATTGGTGAAAAGTCTAGATCTTGAGATAATTAACTTGTTGAATTATTCAAAAAACAATCAAGAATACTATTTTTTTATATGGACAATACTAAATAACCTCGAGGTCATTATAAATCGAACTATATCTAAATCCTTTTTTTTTCTCCTATTTCCTATTGTTAAATAATATTCATTTGTAGATAAAAACGGTAGGGAACTTCAAAAATCTACAAAGTTCTATAGATAACAGATTGAGTTATGTTATTCTAAACGAGAAAAATAGTGAAAAATAACCAAACCTAAAACATTTCTATTGTTATGTTTAATTCAAATTCCAATGTTTTCCAATAGTTGTTTATCAAAACCAATGAATGTTTTCTTGATTTATAATAGACTCCTAGTCCGTTTATTGATCGAGTCTATAGAATATAGAGGGATATAGGAAATTAACATCTGAAATATTTCCTAGCTAACCATTTTCGTTCAACAGTTGTAAAAGCTACCTATGATTATAAAACGAGTAAGCCAGAATAAACTCCATTATATATTCGTCTATTTTTCTCTTATTTTCTTATTATGAACATTCCTTTATATATCAGAAGAAAGAGAGTTTCAACGTTTATAGAACCATATTTGCTCTCTCTCTCTCTCTCTCTGTATATATATATATATATGCGCTAGCTTGAAAAATCTCCAATGAGATGTAAAATAATCTAAGAAGAGGTGATAGAGTGTGAGGAGGATTTTTCTATCTGTTGTAGTGAAGAGTGTAAGTTGAAAAATGTCTAAACCTTGTTTGATTATGTTGGACAACTTCTCGAAAATATTTGAATTGTCATTTGAGCGTGCTAGTGAAAGTTGTTGACGTTTTTACTATTCGCTTTTGTTTTCTTTTAAACATATCCGATAAGATCTGTCATATTTACAGTTTTGTAGAGATTAATATTCTCTATGTATTAGGATATAAATGAATTTTCTTCATGAATAGAAAGTGAGAGAAAAAGGTGTGTTACATATTAAAGTCGAACTTAGTAAGGTTTATTCTCGTTTAGTGCTAACTAGGAAACGTTTTATTGTTTATTTCGAGTCTCGATATGTCCTAATGATTGATTGGAGAATGAGAAATGGTCCGACGTTGTCTAAAACGATTGAAGTTATCTGGGTTAGTCACCATTTCCCATTGAGTGACCGCAATAGATATCCTCTAATGCTATTTATATCTGAATAGATGAGAATGATTTGTTTTGTTATTGAAAAAATCTTAGATTAAAGTCGAAATCGTTATTATTTCTATAAGAAACGAATAACTAGTCATTTTTTTTGTTCTCATAGTTTTTTCTTTATTTCTCGTCGATTTCAGGTACCAAAATTAGAATATTTCAGTTTAAAATGTTTAGTTTATGATAATTTACAAATCAGCTATTTAAAATGGCTTTTGAATAATGTTAATCATATTCGAAAGCTTAAAATTCGTCTTGGTAGCAATGAAGTATCGAATAAAGAGACAATTATTTGGAATTCGCTCGTTGATGCTAATTTTATCCGTCAATATTGTATGCCTGATATAGATAAGAATTTAATTAATTTCGATTTTTATATCGCTTTTAAATGTCAATCAAAATCGATTAATATTGAAAAAATTCTAAATTCATTTCAAATCCATCGACTTTTTATTGATCGTCAATGGACAAATGTAACGTGTTTCTTTGATCCAATTCTCTCATATCAACATCTTTCTTCTTCTCCTATTAATAAACCTGAATTTTATGATGGTTTACGGTAACGGAAAAACTTTTCTAGAACATCATATTAATATTTTCATATAATTATATCTTATAGTTATTATCCAAACTTTTCTACTTGGCCACATATTCGAACAATTTCTATTGATTTACATGCATCGATTTATTTATTTATTGAACGATTTAATCAGATATTTCCCAATGTTTGCTACATAAAAGTACATATGAGTAAGTATTGTTCTCCTTTCATATGTCTTATTAATTATATATATGTTAGGTCTGACAAAATGTTCTAATAACATGAAAAATAAAAATCTCGATATTTGAAGATATTTTTAATATCTATCTATATATATAATGTTCAGTGTGTGTGTGTGTCTGTGTGTTTCTCTGCCAGGTCAAAGGGGAAACGTGAAAAATTAAAGGTTAAAGGTTAAGGTTTCTAGCATTTCCTAGTACGTTGGAAAACTATGTGAACGTTGGTAGAAGTTTCTAGAATGTTCTCCAGAACATTGTAGAAATTTACCTAAGAACTCTATACAGAGGTCAAAGGTTAACGGTCAAAGATTAAAGGTCAAATAAGGCTATAAATGGAAGGCGCCAAGGGCTACTATATTCGGGTGCCATAGGTCCTCAAAGGCTGTCCTATGAGGTAATCATAGATTCTCAAGAGCTATTATATGGGAGTACCAATAGGCTCTGCAGGTAGTAAGAGAATCTTCTATACATATAATATTCAGTGTTTGTCTGTGCCCGGTCAAAGGTGAAATAAGAGTATAGACGGGTAAGGCTATAAGGGGTAAGGTTATAGAGGGGTGGACTGTAAGGGGGGAGGATAAAGCTATAGAAGGGTAAGGCTATAACAGGGTAAAACTATAAAGAGATAAGACTACAGAACGGTATGGCTATAACTGGGTAAGGCTTAATGGTATAATGGTATAGGGGATAAGGAGAAAAGGCTATAAGGGTATAAGGGATAAGGGAATAGGGCTATAAGGCAATAAGGAGGTAAGGCCATAAGAAGAGTAAGACAGCAAGGGGATCAGACTGTAAGGGGTGACGCTATAGGGGAGAAAGCTATAAGCGGGGCAAGGTGATAACGCGGTAGGACTATAAGGGAATAAGGCTATAAAGGGATAAGCCTATAAGGCCGTAAGGCGACATGGGCTATTAGTGGTATAAAGATATCACGCAGTAGGGCTTCTATGTCCATAATGTTAAGTGTTTGTGTGTCTGTTACCGAGTGAAAGGTTAAAGTTTTGAGATTGTACGTTAAAG